ACAGCAGCAATATATTCTGATAAACAATGAGGAGTGGTGACAAACAAATTAGGAGTGGATTTCTCATACATCCAATTTGGCTACAAAGCATCCTGCTATACCCGTACTGCACATTCATGAACTTTTTAAAATCACAACCCCTGTGTGTGTGTGTGTGTGTGTGTGTGTGTGTGCGCATGTGCATATTTGTGAGCTCTTTGGTGGTTGTACTTTCAAGAATAAAAACACGTCATAAAAAAAAATCTCCACAATAATATGCACAATAATGAGAGACCAGAGATGTAGAGATGGTTAAAGAACTGGGTGGTTACTCTCTCTGAGGAAAGATGTGTGGACTGTGAATATTAAGAGAAATGAGCTGAGCTGCAATGAATGTACAAACAGATGCAAGTGAGCTGGAATGACTGGAACTGAACTGAATGAAAGCTAATCTAATTGGACTAAGATGATGGGAAGAGGAGAAATGTAAAAGTGTTATAATTAGTAGAATTTTGGTGATAGAAAAATTTGGACACATGAATTTGGACCATATCAAATCCAAAAGAGGTCTCCAATAGTTTTTAATTTTTAATTTCTCACAGTGTTAACATTTCCACAAAGGGACTTAAAGGCAGGCTTGTTTTAAAAAATCTCCAACCTTTGATTTCTCACAAGGTTTTCTTTTCTGAGTATGAAAACAATGCAAATAAAGTAAAAAAGTAATAAAAAGAACTACACAGCACTAAAAGTCAAGCAGCAAGATAAAACTTTGATCCAAAACAGAGAAACAGTAGAATAAAAAAAACATCCATACCATGTGTGGTATTGTGTGTTTAAGTGCATATATAAGTGCTTTCGGAACCATTAGATTTAAAGTTATTATTTTTATTTGATACTTTCAGTATTTTCCATGCTTTGAGTAAAAAAATACAGATCTGTTTTTAATGTTGCATTTGGGTGTATTTTCTAGACTGGTGCCCATAGAGGTTGCTACTTCCAACTGATGCACACACGCGCACGCTCTGCAGTTTTTGAACACCATTGGCGTGTATCTAATGTAATTAATTTGTGTATTTTTTTCAAACACAACCGTGAACGTGGTACGACAAAAAAAAACTGATGTTTGATGTGTACTATGAGTTTCTTTTAGTTTGGTCCACGTCCCAACTACTAACATGGAGGAGGTGGGGTATATGACCCATGCTGCAGCAAGCCACCAGGGGGCGATCGGAAAGCTTTTACTTTATCTAATTGCTGTTCCTGCAATTCACTCCCATTGTTTTTCTCTCAACTTAAGCAAACGTTGCACTCAAATAGAAAATGTAAACACTGACACCAGCTTTCACAAAAGATTGATAAAGACGTCAGGTTGTTTCTATCATTTGCAAAAGCTTCTCAAATCTTAAGTTCCAATAATCAATAAGTAAGCAATAATACAGTATTTTTGTAATAGCATTAATACATTGTATAACAAACTCCAGTGTCCAGCTATGTTTTCTTTTGAGCTGTGTTACAATAATCATTATCTTTAGTAGGAGCCAATGGGTTTTGAGCTTTTGAGAAGTCAAGAGATAATAAGATAAACTAACACATTCTTGTTTTTCGTCTCCCCATTGGAGTTGATGATGATAATGTATAACAGAATAACCTCAGACCTTTCCATGAGGTAAACTGTGTTTTAATTTTGATTTTACTATATGAACAACCTTGGCTGAGGCATGAGTCATACTAATGAAGACTAATAAACTGAACCTGATATTTCAATTTGATGGATGGATCAGCTTTAATGCATAGATTATACTAAGGTTGTCATTAGTGACAATAATTTGTCTTCGCAGTCACCATGGGATGTCTTCTTTATTGATATTTTTCTACTTACAGTTAATATTATTCATAACTTGAGATTTATTGACATTTAGATGACTTCAATTTCTTCCCTTCGTACAATGCACTCAGGCATATATGATGATGTGAGGGGGCACTTTTGCTGTCGTGTGATCTCTATGAATGGGGGATTATGGCTTTAAAAAAACATGCACAACCTTTTATTTCATTTACAAATGTAAAGACAGCAAAAAAAAAAAAAAATATCTGTCACGCCTACAGCCCAGCATGAAGCTTACATTGGCCAGTTAATCCCGATATACTGCCTGGGATGTAATGCTGTATGGTGTGGTTTTGTGAGCCCTTATATTCTTCTCCATGGAAGCATGTGGTGTACACATGCTGAATTTAGTCATTTCGGAAGCTGCGATCGCAACTATCAGTGCGTTTTTCTTAATTTAGCGATATGGTTTTGTCAATATCTGCTGGTTTGCGTGTTCCTGAAAGAAAGAGAGTTTAGAAAATATACTCTTCAAAGAAAAAGAAGCCAGTTGCATGGATACAGGGCTCTCGCTGAGAAACTGAAAAACACCCCAAGGCTACATGTTTGTTTGGTGCCTTTGAAATGCTGCAGTGTGTGTCTGTGTGTGTGTGTGTGTGTGCAGACTTTAGCATGTATGTACATTACATGCGTGGGCTTCCTCTACATGGTGTTTTTTTTCCCTGTATGTACATGTCTGTGGGTACAAACTTGTGCTTTAATCTTATTTTATTGACGCTGCTGCGTTACCTGCAGGATTTGAATGTGGGATGATCTTTTTTTGCCCCTCAGCTCAAGGTGCAGCCAGAGATATCCCACATGCTTCTAAACACCCACTGTGATGAGCTACAAGATCAGCAGGAATGCATGGCTTATTACCCAACAGTTGTTCAAAAACATCATTTATCGCATGTATTTATTTATATTGCATTTAGTTCACAAACAGGATCACAGCACAGCGAACACAGGGTCAGGGGATGTATACTGAGCGTGACGTAAACACCCAAGCTCACTAAATGTGGATTTTTGTATTATTCCTTGTATAATCAAAGTCTTGTTAAGAACTTAAGATCTAAGATTTGTGTAAGTGTGTGTGTGTGCGTGTGTGTGTTTCTGCAATTCTTCAGCCCTGTGTCGGAGTCCTCCTCTGATTTTTCATAACTCTTGAGCTTGTAATATCTCTAATTTTTTGGACTACATTGCCACATTTCCCTGCCTGAGCTCTCCACTGAAATAGTTCCCCTGCTTACCGGCAACATATTTGTCAATGCATGTATCTAGTTACAATTACACTTAACTCTGGTGGCATCCAAAGCTCGACATGGCTCTTCCAGCATGTGACATCAGCGTACATTTAGCTAGTAGCTACCTCAAACTCCAGTGGACATGACATCATGCCTAAATCTAAACAGTCTAAAGTGTGGATGCATTTAATGTGAAAGGATTCAGTCTGCGGCAGCTTTGAAAACAATGCTGTGTAAAGGGACGAACACGGCCGACTTTATAAAGCAACTAGCGACACACGGGATGTATCTAAAAGCAGAGGCCCGCGTGGCCTCATGCCAAACATATCAGCAGCATTATGGGTATTTAGTGCTAAATTATTGAACTTGGGTTAGGTTTTATTTACTGTTTAATTTTGTATTAAACGTTTTGCACATATTTATATATTGTAATGAGGTATACTTTTAATTGTTAACAGTTAAATTTCAACTTCTAATTGTCCTTAGCAATGAAACAGCAGTTCTCATCGCTGTTGTTTTGTGTGTGGGTTTTTTTTAATTAATTTTGTTTCGGTTCGGCCACCATTTAGGCATCAGGGAGAAACAAACTTACAATGCCCAAACCTGCACCATCACAGACTGTACAGTTTTCCCTGGAGACACAAAGGCTTTTTATTATCTGCAGTAGTTCTCCCATGAACAGAGTTTGGTGGAGTTCCCTTTAAGTCGCTCTTTAATGAAGCTACATACATCGAAACATAAAGTCCATGTCTCCAGAGAGGCCCATGGTCAGGAATGTTAGCTTTAGCTCTCCTGATAGACAGAGGCTGGTTTTCTTGGCCTTGATTCAGATGAGAGAAAACTGCAGAAACTGGATGTGGACCCTTGTTCGAAATGTCAAGTCATTTGGCTCTTTGCTCATTCTGTCAAGAGGTCTGACGGGAGGGCAGAGGATGTCCATTATTCTGCAGATAACGTCTCTGGTCTGGTATCTGACACGCTGAGAGTCTGAGAGAGTTTAATCTGACACCAGATACAGACACAATAATCTCTGGTTGGCACACAAGCAGTCTTTAGAGCTCTTGTTCATATCATGCTATTTCATGTAAGAGCTGGACTTTCTTGTTATAACAACTGATAAAGACATGATGTCGTAATGAGAAAGATTTTCTGTTAAAAAAATCATTTTTCATTTAATAACAATAAAACAGAATCAGAAATAAGTTATCATTTTATAATGTGTGTTGGTGTGAATGGCTTTAAACCTGCCTTCCAGTGAACACCTGGGTGCTTACTTTATTTTCAGCAGGCTGAATGCCATGGTTTTACATTGTACATGTACTTCTTATGTACTGGGAATGCTTGTTTTTCCTCTGTATCAGTTCTCACTTAAAGAACACAGCACCGCAGCAGAAAACAGGGACACAATTTCAGTCAATAAAGTCATCAGCTAAAGCACAGTGTCAAATCCCGTGTAATGATTATTGAAAGCTGGCTGGTGTGATAATCCTTTGTGATTAGAAAACATAGATTCTCACTCCCTCGCTAATGCCACAGCCAAAAAAAGGAGACTTCCTTTGGTATTAATTCACATTTATTGCTTTCTTTAAATTTAATAACAAATTATTGACTGCTCTATGTATGATTTATCATAATAATAACACTAATAATAATTTACCATTCCAGCACAACTTACTACAACAAAAATCCATAATCCATCCAGGTTTGTTGTTGTGTGGAAACTGCAGATAATGTCACCCTGTAGTTTCAGCCACATTTCAAAAATGTTATGCATATTTTTCACTAGCAAGGAAAATCTAGTAAGAAATAAAGTACAGATATGAATACATTATGATGTGTGGTACAGTTCTGCAGTTTGCATTTCAATACACACTAACTTGTTATTTGAATTCCTGTTAAATGTATCTCACCAGCATCACTACAAGCAGCACAGCTCAGTGGAGGGACACATCAACAAGCTGTTGAAAGGAAATGCACCATCCATGTCAGTGCTGGTGTAAATCCACAGCAAGGTATATGTTATGTTCATACATGGTTTTGGGTATATTATATCAAGTGTTTTTTGACTATGGTAACAGTGCTGCAGTGATACAGTAGAAAAAGGAGGAGGAAACAGGAGCACTACCATTAGTTCAAAATAAAAGATGCCCATATTCACAAAATCATAGATGCTTTATCTAATATCAAACATTTTGATTCCATTTTTTTTCCCATTACATTTTTTCAATGCTGAAGCCACTTGGAGATCCCCATGTGTGATAATAACGTCGGTGTGATGGAAAAAATTTGAAATAGAATTGTCGTTCTGCTGAACAAACATTTCATTGTAACACTGAGTTTAACTGGTGACAATCCAAATATTGATCTGAAGGAGAAAACTAATCGCTTAGAGCAGTCGTTTATTTTAGCAATTTATTAAACCTTTTCACCTGGACTGACTGTTTTTCCAATTGAAGAACAACACCTCCCCATAGCTTATTTAATCAATACATGTTCTTCTATTGTTGGTAAATGTATGAGTAATAATCAACACATTCAATGTATTGTGTATTCAGGAGAATGTCTTTGAAATTTCACATGGATTCACCAAAAGCTCAGATGTCCCAGTTTCCACAAGTATTTAAATGCATCATACCTTTGTCTCAAAACCCCACATGTGAATATTAATGTGTGAATGGAGCCTGTCTCAGGCGATATGATCCAACATTTAACAATGTTGAAATAAACAGACAAATAATGTCACAAAGGCTCTCAGACATTTATTCTGATGATCAAATCTGTGAAGTAAAAAAAAAAAATCTGTACATTAAATATTTCTTAAGTTTGTGGTGCTTTTATAAAATGATTTCATGCGTTCACAATTCTTGACATTTGCATGTAATTTAGAATATAAATCACTGTGCTCATGTGTAATTTCTTATTTTTAATTTGTAGATCATGCCATATATACATTTGTCTTGTCCAATTTCTCTCCATAAACACTTGCACTTCCCGTTCCAAGCATGTGCTTGATCAAATTCCACAGCTTGTGTGCCCACAGCTCCTATGGTTAAAGGTTATAAGTTGAATGCTCTGACTGTAAAATGAATGATTTCTTTTGAGTGGTTTCATACACAGCAGCCAAACATCAGCTAAGTTGTATAATACAGTGGCTGTGTTGGGTCGTAATTAGCATGGCCCTAAGCAATATAACAGGTCATAAAGACTTTGTGTTTTGAATGTTTTCATTTAACTACTGGTGTCGAGCAAACAAGGCAACCTTGAAAACATCCACTCTGAGGAGAACTGTAGCGCAGGCTGAGGTCAGCACCATTTCATAGACGAGGCTTTGAACACCGAGCCTCATTTCTGCGGCACAATCAGTGAAGTAAAAGTCTACCTCACGGACTTTCTAATGTTTCTCTACGAATGCATTGCAAATAAATCAACCATCAAGCGGAAATGAAGAACCATCTTCTTTTTTTTTTGCTGCCTCTTCATCTTTTACGAGTTAATATTTTCCAAAAATGTATTTTCGAAGGTGGAATATTTTCTTGTGCGTTACTCAACGCATTAGTTGATGTTGGGAATCAACGGATGCACCTTATTGGCCCCATCTTACAGCTGAAGCGGTGATCGCAAATATCAGATCAATGTAGTTCATTTTTGTTCTCAGTGCTCACGTAAAAATAGTAGATGAACCAATTTGAGCACCCATAGGCAGGTTGGTGTTAAAATGAGGTGTGGTTTGGCACATTGTTGGTGCACCGGCAGTGAAAAGCAGTTGTGTGACTGACGGACAGCTGCTCTGAAGTCTGCGGTGCAGTATTTAGACACAGTACAGCCCTTTGATACTATATTCATGGTGCAGCAACTTTTTTCCTGTGGTAAACTGGCAAAAGTGGATTTGGACATGCACTGACTGAAGCTCGGTAGTAGGCCTTTTTGCGCATTCCTCTTAAATCACATGAACAGTGAAAAGAGGTAATTGGCTGGTGGAGATAACTACCGCCAATTACCTCTTTCCATTCAATCACGGCTTGACACACTCACCTTGAGCCACCTGTATGCTGTCAAAGTTTAAAGTGTTCTCTCCCCTTCCTGTCATTCAGCTGTCAGGTCAGTACAGCGATCAACGAGTGGCCACCTCAACCCCTGCACCACCTCAACTCTGGATGCTGGGTCATCTACCTTTAACCGTCCATCAGACGTCCAATGTTCGTGCTCCATTTCTAATCCCCATCACCAAAGTTTGGGCTCTGGAGGTAAGGCTCCTTCCTGCTAAAGCTCCAAATTCATAGGAAGGCTTCCATGGTATTCAACTTCCCGCTGGGGTCTAAGAACCAAAAATCTATTCCTCTGTTCACAGGAAATTGAATTTCATTCTAATTTACTAATTTGTGTCCTCTATAATTTTCATGCACTTGGGTCATGCACTTTAGACCCATGTGCTGGAATTGTAAAATAACAATCTTAACTTTGACTATTACATAAAATACTATATCAGCGGGATTAATACTTAGACATGACCAAAGGAAGGATCCATTAAATTTGCGGCAAATCTGGATAAACGGGTCGATATAGGATTTCGATTTTTCGCTTTTTCACTTTCTTCAACATGGGGGACACAGGTATGGTCTTAGGTATGCACTCCCTGAATGAGTTCTTTCTGTTTCCATTCCACTTTGTCCTGTTATGTCTTGGTTGATACAAAATCTGCCAAATTTCTCACATGGTCACAGCAACAATTAATGATTGTACAATCGCTTAATTTGCCACAATAACTGTCTTCAAGGGCAAAAAAAATATGATCGATTGTTTTGAATGAACCACACCAGCTTTAGTAATCCTGCTCTAGGTATCCTGGGATCTGGACACCGAGCCATTCCTTCCTATAGCATCCGTGCAGTGTAAGAATTCCATGCAACCTGGATTAGATAAAACTTTACAAAAACAACGACAAATTGAGATTACAGGTTTTCATAAGAGCAATATGAATAGCCTGGTCCTTACCGCATGCCCCAATCCTCTACCATAATCCTCTGGAGGAGCACAGGAACTTACATTTTCACTGTGAGCAAATAGTGCTCCCCAGACATTGAAGGCGATCTCAGCAATGCAGCAGTTATCGCTCCTTAACCTTCGGTCTCCAATCAACCGCAACACGTCAACACAACCTGTCCGTTTAGAGAGCTGACAGACTCCTACACTGTCCCACTCCAACCATACTCATCTTTTCATTACATGCCATAATTGCCACCTAGCAACCTGGATATATGTGTATCTATAGTCCAACACCATTTGTGGGCGTGTTGAAGTATTTGTGTTACAATCAGCCCCCATCCTTTCCTAGCATAACCAGTGGAAGTGCTATGCAGCATGTCAGTGCAGACAGCCAGGGCTGCTAAACCGAAGGGAAGAGACACAGGCCCTGACACAGCCACCCACACACAGGCACCAGGCAACAGTGGAGCCATGTGTGCATGATGGCATAAATTATTTAGTATGTCCAAACGTCTCCAGACCAGATTCTCATTAATTCTCGGACTGTCAGCATGTTGGCATGTTTACATCGTGATGGTAAATGTGCTGCCATTGCTTTCCTTTAAGTTGTTCTACACATTCAAACTTTATGCTACACGAGAAGGTTTCATTATTTTGCAGGTGTATTATGGAGTTTGGCAATGTGTTTGCTTTATTTACCCAGGTGAATTAGTTTAATTGCAAAGAAAGTAAGTCCATCAAGGCAGGTGAAACAAGAGATTTCAAGCAATAAAGAAGACTATAGGGCACGGTTGGCCTTCCGTCTCAGGGGCGTCGTGGAGCCATACAAAGTCTTTGAAAAGTGAATTTGAGCAGATGACAAATCGCTCCAGATGTTGTGAAGCAAGAAAAACAGTTGGGTGCATTATTCCTCCATTACGTCATTGTTGAGAGACAAGGACAATAGTGATGTAGGTGGGTCCTGTCCAGGTTCGCCAGCTTCCTCCCAATTGTCTGTCTCTCTGTGGAGGTCCTTGTTCTTGTAACCTTTTTCATACAGCTCCCAATATATTTAACAGCTGCATAGAGAAGCCTTATGGATCCCATAATATAAGGAAATATCTGACTATGTAATAGAAACATGACAAGCTACTCGCTCAGAAGCATTTAAACAGTTTTAATTAAGGCTCTGGCTATCTTATTTATGTTATTGGCTACTCCTTATATGCAGCCTTTCACATTTTCCTCCAGAGGGGAGGGGTTTACTCAAGAGGGAAAATGGGCTTTTGCTTAGCAAACTGTCACCTGGGGTTTTGCATGTCCTTGCTTATGAAAGTCAGCTACGTTTCCAAATGGTTTTGTAAGCAGGTGATTATTCTAGTCTACATATGTCCACTTTTTAAGCTTCCACCACTTTTTCATGTATTTCCAATATAGATACAATCCTATGCTGAGAGACATTTTTTTTCATCTATGTGAAACATGAATTTAACATCAGGGTTTGGTGTCCGCCAGAATCAAAGACGTAAAGCTTCTGTCTGGAGCCGTCACAGAGGAGAAATATCCGTTGGAGAGGGAGGCAGACATACCAATTTCTGCTATGACAGAAGCCCCAACGGATTTCACTGCTCTGCAGCTGGAAGACATGCTGAGGGTTTTTTCCTCTCTCAGTATTATTTCACTGGAAACTCTGCCTCTCTTACTATTACTGTCACTCTGCGCGTTTCCTCTCCACTCCATATGCATCTTACTAGTCAGGAAGGACTCACGAGAGTTTAAGAAGTAACTCTGGGAAATGGAAGGAATCTCTACTGGAGCTTCAAGTAGCTAAAGTAATGTGTATTACTACAATAATCCCAAAATACATCAGCAAATACAATATATTTTACTGTAAGGATATTTCCAGGAGTTATGATTAATGGGGTTACAAGGGAACATTTTCAGAAAATAAGAATTATTAAAAATTACCAGATTTTTTTTTATAACTGCTTTGGAACGGTTTTCTAACACCATGGTTACAAAGAGTAATCATTTCATATCTCAATAGCTGGTGGTGCACTGTCAATAGTTTTACAACAGTCATCTCTGAGTCACAGAGGACGTTTGTTATATTGGTTGGTTGCAGGGCCGAGCAGTAGCACTGGTCCTTTAATACATCCATGTTGATGTGTGGTTTGCTCTGTAGAGGACTGCAAAACTATGATTGGGCAATTACTGTTAGGGGGGAGGGGTTTATCATACTGCTCAACTAAAAGAACAATGATTATGATAACAATTACTTGATTCATGTGGCACCTTTTAAAACAGTATTGGCTTCACTAAAAAGACAAGTAAAAAAACAAGAATAAAAAACTTATAAGGCAACCAGCAAAATAATACAATAAAATTTAAAATTGGCAAATTATGTTCTACAAACTCTAAAATATAAGACAACAAATGGAAAATACAACATCATTTAAAAGTAGTGGTAGAATAAAGGAATAAAAGCAACATAAGTAATAGCTTAAAACAAAAGTTATTTAGTAAATTAGAGTTTCCAGAGATTATGTAAAAACAGACCTGTCACATTTGGTCTTCAGTTTTGACCAAGGAATCCCATCTTTTTCTTTCAGTAAAATTATAAATCATACCATTTCATTTGAAAATCAATAACAGAGCCAACTGAATATATACTCAGTTGATATTTGAAGAATCATTTCAACAGATTTGACTTCTACATGCTGAACAAGGAGTCATCAGTCGTAAAAACACACGGACATAGAATACGTCTGAGAAACTAGGGCTGCTTGACCACAGCAGATAATGTGAGGGCCATTTTAAAATTCTGAAAGGTTGAACTGTACTTTCTAAGCCTAAAAAATGCCTTTTTACTCAAATAATATTAAAAAAACAAACATGTGACAGCCCATAAGAGTTACCGGACAAAGTTAAAGAAAAATGCCACTGACTCTGTCCCCCAATACCGGCAGTTTGAAAAATGAGGGCAAGTCAAAGTTAATAATTATATTAAAAGCCCGCCTTGGTGATGCATTCTGTTTTGACACATCTATTTGTCACGCTCGTGTAGTGAAATGTTTCCTCCTGACAGACATATTCAAGGATCAAACTGGAGCGCTGAGAAACATTATTGGAGGAGACTCATTGATATTTTCCTCACAAGGCAACAGTCGGCATTTAAGAGCACTATACTAAATAAAAGGATATTGATCTGCCTAAATGAATGCATGGCCTAACCTTCAGGAGTGCATGAATTGAGGGCATGTGTCATGTAAATTACAAGTGGCAGACACGCTGTAATATCTGCCACATTGCACCGTGGTGCTTCTACACATCTCAGACATTGTGATATACTGCACTGTACACCATATAATATCAGTGGTCAGCCTTACCAGCTGAGCAGAGTAAACTTTTTGCTTTATGACTTGGGAGCAGAGACAGGAAAGCTGTAGGTTGGCAGAAAACCTGACAGATTCTCGACCTCTATTTTACTTACAAAATTGCTGACTTTGACCCGTAGTAGCTGCAGTGTGGTTTTATAGGTGCGTGTGGGACCGGGCTTGTAAACAGAAGATGAGACAATAAATTTCAACTCTGTGAAACCGTCAAGTGATTCAGTTTCAGTTGTTGTGTACTCCTGGCTATACAAATCCTGAAATATGGCTCGGTGGAAAGACGGCAGGAGTGTCATGCCCCATGCAAAAACTTTTCTTTTTAAAATGATTCCCTGGATCACATCGATGGCGGCCTTACAAAAAACCATGGAGGTCATTCCTGAGCTGCTGACTCTCCTCATATGACCAAGCACTTGACAGACACTGCTCCTTGATACACCGATGTCTTCAGGCACGAATAATATGTTTTTGCAAGGTTCAAGGTTGGCTGAGCGATTATTTTGGAAGGATTCATGACACAAGCTCGAAATGGAAATATTAAATGATGTGGTACTGGCTGCTGATGTACATGTTGCATTCTCAAGCACAACTATAATTAGTGCGAGGTAATTTAACACATTGTGCACTGACGGTGGAAGTACAGACATTGGGTTAAAGTCAGCAGTTGCCTCTTTCCACAGATGAAGGTGTGAACATATTTCACTTTAATGAGATTATTTTGAAAAGCTGGCGGCAGATTGACTACTACCAGGTTTAAATCATCAAACTCAACTCAGACACATCTTTTTCATTGTGGTAAGAAGAAATGCAGCATTCAATAAAAAAACGGAAAAAACTTGATAAAGTTGGAGTAGAATTTCTGTCAGGAAATATAGAACCAAGCTAAAAAAAAAGTACCCTGTGAGTTCTTTGTCAGCATGCAGCTCAGCTGTGATGCAAACAGGGGGATCTCAGAGCTTTTAAGCTTTTACTTTCTGTGTTTTTTTTTTCAGGAATCGTATTTTTTCAAGTGCGCAGCCCAGATAAGACGTCTACATAGATGAAACAGACGAAAACAGCACATCAGCAGCAGCAGCTGCAGTCCTTCATCAGTGTCTACACCTGATGCGTTCTGCCACAGTTATGCTGAGCAGGATTTTTTTGTTATATCCCATTACGAAATCAAGGTAGAATGCATGCAGCTGTATTAAAATAGACCTGAGCCATAAAGACGTAAAGTGTGTCAGATACATATTCAAAGCACAACTAAGTCCAAGCTGCCAAGCAGCTGCACTGATTAAAACTGTATCTGTTGAAGATATGAAAGTCCTCACAAGAATAGTTCCACATTTTGATAAATGTGCTTGTTTTCTTTTTTTTTTGCCAGCGCTTAACTTTTTGGAATCTCTAATGTTTGCTTGCTAACTGTTTCCAGGCAGTAATTCATCGACACATAAACCTGTGTACAATTGTGAAATGTTTACACATTTTGAACCGATCAAATGAAGGAGATGTAATGTGTCAAATTGTATATTATACTGTTATATTTACAATTGCCTACAAATGTGTGTGCATTGGATGTAAAGAAATAAGGTATAGGACTTCGACCATATAAAGATGGGGAATAAGACAGCTCCCCAAAGTGAAGCCAAAGCTCATATACTGTCTGGCTGCAGTATAGGTCGTAAATTATGTCTCCTCCATGTTAGTGGATAGGACATGGACTCAAAGATGTTTTTTGTCATTGTAAATGGTTGTTCTAGTGAGTTTGTTTTTTTATTAGTTATGTAATGTTATATAACTGAGGTGAAACATAATCGTTAACATGTAAGATGGGCTCACAGTAAGGTCAGCCAGGATCTCACAGCTGCTGATCTGTCCCCCGATCGCTACATTCACAGACTCCAAATGTGCAAGATGGCAGCATTCATATCCCATATCCCATATATATATGTTGACTTCATTTTTTGGATAGTGGAATGAAGAAGAGATGCATAATTAATCCTAATATACAGTCTATGGTATGGAAGAAGGTGTTTAATTATTTTTTAAATTTGTATAAGTACAACCGCAACTTCCAGATCAAATCAGTCATTTTTACTTAGCATTAGCAAAGAGTTGAGTTTATAGACTATAGACGATAAGAAGTTTAAAACACTTGATCCTTGTTTTTCTGAGCGAGGCTGTGCACACTCACTCCCTTTAGGCACTGTTGAAATATGCTGCTCTTGCATGACAAAGCCATTTATCACTCTCTAAAGATATAGGTTGCATTCCAGTTACACCCTTCCACCTGCTGTCATTAGTCACCATCATTATGTTTCAAGCATACTAGAGGTTCTATGTCTCCTTGCCTGTGCACTCTAAGAATAGACAAACAGAGACAGTGGCAATACAGATGATGCAGTGCACGCAGTCGATTTAGAAAGATGGTAACATTGTGTTGCTGGTTAACACAGTGGGTGTATCACTGGTATTTAGGAAGCGATGGGGACAACAACAGCAGCAAAGTGTCAAATTATTTTCTGAAATTACATTTTGATACTTTGATGCTCCTCTGTGGTTCAGCACAGAATTCTGACTCTGATACATAAGCAGTCTCTCTCCATCCATGTTTCTCACTCATATTTTGAATATTTCTTGCTGTTTGTAACTTGGGCATTGTAATGGACCTTTGTGGTGGAGAAGAGAAGCTGAGCGGCAAGGCAAAGCTTTTCTCATACCAGTCTGTCTACGTTCCAACCCTCACCTATGGTCACAAGCTCTGGGTAATGACTGAAAGAATAAGGTTGTGAATACGAGCCGAGGAAATGAGTTTTCTCCCATCGGGTGTCTGGGCTCAGCCTTAGAGATAGGGTGAGGAGCTCAGGAAGCTGGAAGGGGCTTGGGGTTGAACCACTGCCCTTTAATGTCCAAAGGGGACAGTTGAGGCGGTTCCGGCATCTAGTTAGGATGCCCCCTGGGCGTCTTCCTTTCGAGGATTATCAGGCACACCCAACAGGGAAGAGACCCCAAGGTAGACCCGGAACTCGCTGGAGGGACAATGTATCCCATCCGGCCTGAGAATGCCATACAGACCTAAAACCACAACCATTAAATCTTCAGAAAGCTGTAAAAACATAACATACTCTGTCTGAAGATGATCAATCTCACAGTTTTTTGAAAAGATTGTCTCAATTCAAATTCAATTGTCTTGTTTGAATGTGCCAAACATTTTACTGCAGCACATTGATAGACTTCTGACATAGCTTAACCACCTAAAAGAGAAACATAAAACCATATCCCATTGATCACAGAGATCTTATAGTTGGAATTATTATCCTGCTCAGTTGTTGGCCGACTCATAACCCTTTGAAAATGATGGTGGCTCACCTGGCATTGACATTTCTGTCTTTTGAAGACCTTTGCAGGCTCAGTTGATAAGCTAGCCCCAAGACAGTAATATTATATGAATCTCAAAAGTGAACAGTCTGTTCTACTGTGTTTGTACTGCAAGGTCTATGACACTTCCCTGTAAAACGATTGCTTATAAAAACTCTGTTTCTAAAACTGATGGCCATGTGTCTCATGATGTTGAGCTTTGCTGTTGATATGCCACATTACAGTTATGTTGCTGATTCATTTAAAATTGTATTATGTAGCCTGTGTTATAATATGCAAATATACGCTCAAAGCTGAATTACAAGTTGTTGTTTTTTTTCTCCTTGAGGAAAAACATGATCTGAGAATTTTGTAGTACAGGGAAATCTCACATCATGGTTGTATGATGAGGTCAAAACAATCTATCCATTATTTCTGTTTTCAATAGAATGGCTAAAAAAGAAATACCAGAATCAGAATCCTTTATCATCACCAACATTAAAACAGTGAAAATTTGTTACAGCAGCATTTATCCGACTTGTAGAAATCAGAACAAGAATCAAGAAGTAAAATCTAAATGTAATTGTTTTTATATAAACACAGAGAAAGAAAAAATACATAAAGTGAAACAGTGTAAGGTGCAGTACAACAGTGCAATTTTTACAGTTAGACAGTCAACCTAGTGCAATAGTATTTTTGTGTAAAGTTACAGCGTTCTGGAAATACGTTCAGATTCACTACAAAAATACCTCTCTAAGTATTTGTGACGTCACCCATCACTAGACTCTTTAAAATACTCGCCATGTTGCTTTTACCAGAACCTGTTTCTGTGAGCGTGGAATGTAAGCTGTGTCCCAATGCACTTATTGCAGTGCAGCCACCCTATAGCTCATTAACTTTGTCACTGATTTGCAATGAATTCTGCGATAGGCTGGCTTAGAGAAGAATCGATCTATTTGATCCGTTGTCGCTTGTGAATGGAAGGACGTGTTTGTCGGCCACATTGGAATGAGCCTTTGAAATGAGACAGCCCAGTTGTGCTGCTGGGACACAATCAGTTTTCAAATGCAGCCTCTGAAGGACGAGGCCCTTAAATTGGGACACAGCTCTAGCTATCAATGCCACCTTGACTAGTAAGCAGCTGCTACATTTGCTAAATATGAATGTGCCTGTGTTACGACTGCATCTGTGTTGTACGTGGTTACTTCAGCCAAGGAGGTTATGTTTTCACCGGCATTTGTAGTTCGCCAAATTATGGAAATATTTCCCAGATGGATTACCATGAAACTTGGTGGAAGGACGCGGTATTTGTCAGGGAAGAACACATTTTTATTCCACTTCATTCACTTTCCTCAGACATCATTGAGAATGGTGTTCAATACTTAACTGGCCAATCGGAGCGGTAATGTCATATGGGCAAAATTGCCCTTCCTTTAAAAAAAAAAAAAATATGAAATACAAAATGATTACTATAGCAGGTTTAAATAACTACTTTAGCTGTTAAGCCCCATTCACTTTGAATCATTAAGGACTATGTCATGACTGCCCTCTAAGTGAATTGTGGCCAATTTCAGTACATTGGCTTATCAGGAAGTGAACAGACTTTGTCTTACAGTGTATCAGCTGCATGGTCTATTATGACAGTAATAATTAATAATCTCTGAACTAAATATCGTTAACATTGTTTCATACTTTCTTTAATTCAGCCATGTTCGTACTGTCCCTCTCTCGCACACAGGATGCTAGTCTTTTTTGTCATTATGCTGTAGACTGTCACCTTGAGCCTGGATAATTATTTTAAAGTTTCACTCGCGTCTTTTTGAATTCTGTTGAGATATAATGTAACATCTTCATAGTTAACACCTTTTTTATGCCAAATATGACAAACTCCAAAATGTCTGTGTTGTTTAAGCCATGCTATCAGTGTGGCAGGGCACTAGAGGTTGTCACCCCACCTCCCCCCTACCCCTTGTTTTCAAGGGTTATCTTGCCCCTCGATGTACCTGACAAATTGGGAGAGCACTTAAATCACGTCATTAGTAGTCGTCGCAGGAACCTGATACGTCATCCATAGTCGTCGATGTTAATAGAGGTGAAAATTTGTTTTTTCTGGGGATATCATTATAATGACATTGATGAGAGCTTAAATAAACCAATGCTATTGATTGCAGTTTCCAGTTTCCTAATAACATCTACGCTAATGCAGTGGAATCAAATTCAGGCTGCGAGCAGTGGTCTGTATGCAACCCTGCCAGAAAGCTTTATTAGAGGAGCAGTAAAGTTCAGTAACATGGCTGCTATATACTAGATAAAATAAGTGCATTGTGTATCTTCAAAGAGGGGGGGGAGCTGCAACATGAAATTAGGTCCAAATGTTATCGTGCATAAATCAGCGTGTAACAATGTAACGTTAGCATGATAAGAAGAGATACTTTTATTAATCCCTCAAGGGGAAATTCTTTTTTCACTCATTTTTTCTACATGCATTTTAACCCCGAAACACAACCACACACACACACACACACACACACACA